CTGATCTGATCTAATCTGATCTGATCTGATCTAATCTGATTAATTATGATTTAATTTAAAATTTCAAATCAATAATTTAATTTGACTTTATAATAACGTTTGAAAATTGTAATGATAATTCATATTATAATATAATCAATATTTTTTATTTAATGATTATTTTTTAATAAAATAAAAATAGTTAATTCATATATTAGAATAATCATTCATATTATACTGTAATAATATTTTTTATTTTATGATTATTTTTTTGTGAAATTAGAATTATACATTAGAATAAATATTTAATTTAGATATACATTAAAAAGTAATTAAATTTAGATAATCAATATATAGAAAAGATAGTATCTTTATTAAAATATCTCATCCTTATAAAAGATCAAAAGTTTAGAAACTCAAATAACAAGTTGCAATAAAAATATATTTTAAAAGTAGAATTAGATTGACATTGTCAATGTATTTTAAAACTAATTTTTCCGACGTCTAATAATTAAGGATTACTTTCTCAGTTTTCTATTTAACCTATTTCTAAAGTTTATTCTTTTTCATTTTTAAGAACAATAATAATGATGATGATGATGATGATGATGATGATGATGATGATAATAATAATAATAATAATAATAATTCTTGATGGGATCTGATTTTAATAAGTCCTGATCTAATCTGATCTGATCTGATTGGATCTGATCTGAATCGATCTGATCTAGTCTGATTTGATCTGATCTGATTTTAATAAGAATAAGAAAAAATAAGAAAAAATAAGTTGAACAGAACGGGGCCTTAATGTCAATGTTTCACGAGTAAAGGCAAAGACATGATTAAAAAGATTTTTTCTAAATGACAATAGAAGCCCATTAAACCATACCAAAAATGTTGTGTATCTTGAAGTATTTTGGAAAATTTGAAATTAAAAAGAAATACTTTTTAATTCTTTTTAATTTCAAATTAAAAAGAAATACTTTTTAATTCTTTTTAATTAAAAAGAAATACTTTTTAATTCTTTTTAAAAAGAAACTAAAAATTCTTTTTAATTGGGGACGGAGGGAGTAATATTTAATTTTACTTAAAGTAAAAAGTATTTCAAATTTTACTTTTTAATTCTTTTATAGATATTTCAAATTGAAAGGTATTTAATTAAAAAGTATAAAAAATTGATTTCAAAAAGTAATTCTTTTAAAAAAAGAATTAATTATAATTCGGGACGAAGGGAGTATAAAAAATATATTTGAAACTAATTGGGGACGAAGGGAGTATAAAAAATTGATTTCAAAACTATATTTTGAAGTAAACTCAATTTTACTAAGTTTATAATATAACTAAATATACTTTTTTTTTTATAATTAATTATCAAGGAATACCATAATTTGATCAAAAAAATTAAACTGAGGAATCTTTTATAAGAGAATAATTTATACTCTGTAATTAAAGTTTAAAAATGGTTGAGGAACTCCCTAATAATCCTCACATTAGTCTTCAATCATGCGCCAAGCTTTCTTTGCATTCCTCAATTTTTCACTCATGTTTTCCATTTCACATATTTGGTGCTCCCAACTGCCTTCCTCTCGGCCATAATTTTCGCTCCCCTCCGGCCGTGAAAATCACAACGGCAATGGCGGCCGTGTCTACGGAAGGGATCAAGGCGGCCGTCATAGGCGTTATCACCTGCACCTTCCTCCTCCTCATCACCACCGTCCAATCCGACGCCTCCGATCATCGTTACAAAGCCGGGGACCCCGTCCCTCTTTACGCCAACAAGGTGGGCCCCTTCCATAACCCCAGGTACGCCCAATTCTCTTCTGCGGATTCGACATGGCTCTACCAGATTTTAATTGGTTGTACCTTAATGGATGTCCGATTCTGAAATCTGAACCGGAGAAATTCATGCATGCAGCCTTAGATTGCATTAGTTACAGGATCAAATTGGAAAAATAAACAATGATCGAAGTTTGTTTGAAGATATTGAAATCTGAGTTTTACCAGAACTTGGTAAATTACAGAGCTTAATTACCTATTCAACAAATGTTCATGGGATTAGAACTTAGTTGAGCAATTCTAGAATTAATTAGGGAGCATATATTTGTACCATTTACATTGTGTATTTAGATGGCTAGTAAGTGTTATTGCCTTACTAGTTCATATTAAAAGTTAGTCAATTATGTTTTTTTTTGTTTTTTTTACAGTGAGACCTACAGATATTTTGACCTTCCCTTTTGTGCTCCAGGTTTTTTATTCTTTTACGTTTAATTTCTTAAACTCATTCTACATCTACTACTATGGGTTCCATTTAAAAAGTCAAATTGATAGAACATGCAATTAAGCTGTCATTTGGTTTGCATTCTTGGAATTGAAGGTGCTCCTGTCAACTCTCCCAATTTCCATTCCAGAATCAGCGGAAATGTTGCATTTGTTTTACCTTCTAGTGAGGTCTGTTTCTGATTCATAAAAGTCAGTTGGACACTTTTCAAAACAATCAACAGATTCTATTCAATTGACCTTTCAGCCTTGCCTGAGTAAATGACTAACCAAATGCACAATCACTCTCATTCTAAATTCTGAAATCATAATCACCTATTTCTTTTCTTTTTTTTGAAACATCATAATCACCTATAATTCAAAACAACACTCTTTTCTGAAATTCAGAACCCGTTTTCCAAGTATTCAAACCAAATGCATCCTAAATGTTTTACATTTTGTTGGATTAAGGAGCATTACATTTAATTTCTGTCTTATGATGTTTGCTATATTACATTATTCTGGTGTACCCATATTTTAGAGAACGTTTTGTGTCAAAACTCCCCATTGATCGATCGTGTATGACAATTTGAATCAAAATGCAGAAAATGTGCAAGAGAAGAAGGAAGACCTAGGGGAGGTGTTGAATGGAGATAGACTTGTGAGTGGTCCTTATGAGCTTAATTTCTTGGTGGACAAAGAATCTGAAGTTGTGTGTAGAAAGCGGATGACGCGAAGGGAAGTAGCGATTTTCCGAAGGGCTGTGGATAAAGATTATTACTTCCAAATGTATTATGACGACTTGCCGATATGGGGTCTTATAGGCAGAGTGGATAGGGAAGGCATAGAAGATCCCAAAGACTACAAGTATTATCTTTACAAACACATTCATTTCGATATCCATTACAATGATGATCGTGTTATAGAGATCAATGCAAGTACAGATCCTAATGCAGTGATAGACTTGAGTGAATCCAAGGACATCGATGCTGAGTTCACATACACCGTGAAATGGAAGAAAAGTAATATCCCTTTTGAGAACAGGATGGATAAGTTCTCACAATCATCCTCTCAGCCTCATCACCTCGAAATTCACTGGTTCTCAATCATAAACTCTTGTGTCACGGTTCTTCTTTTAACCGGTTTCCTCACCACGATTTTGATGCGAGTACTTAAGAATGACTTTATCAAGTAAGTGTTTTTTAAACAAAAATTGAAATACCATCAGTACTACAACTTGAAATTATATTAAAAAAAGCCAACGTCATACGGGGACCATATACGTGTCTTTTAGTTGTGTGCTGAACTCACCATCTATTGAAAGGTATGCACATGATGAAGAGGCGGTTGATGACCAAGACGAGACTGGGTGGAAGTACATACACGGCGATGTATTTCGCTTCCCAAAGCATAAGTCTTTTTTTGCCGCAGCTCTTGGATGTGGCACTCAGCTGTTTACACTGTCAGTATGAACAACTTTTTCCCCAGTTTTACCATAGACTCTCTTAGGCTCCCACCCCCATTTGAATAAGAAAAATAAGTAAGCTTGGGATTTTCACACGTGTTTGCAGGGCTATTTTTATCTTTCTACTTGCAATTGTCGGCGTTTTCTATCCATATAACAGAGGAGCCCTGTTTACTGCCTTGCTGGTTATATATGCACTCACTTCAGGTGTTGCTGGATACACTGCAACTTCTTTCTATTGCATGCTTGAAGGAACCAACTGGGTAACTGTTCTACTATTTGCTTTTGGGAAAATCATTAGTTTGCTGGGTAAATTATATAAATGGTACCAAGACGATAGGTATTGTAAAGTTTATGTATTTCTACTCATGAATGTACTCTGTGACCTTTTTGGTACCATAAATCTCTAGAACTAATGCAACCAAGGTACCTCATACACTTCTTCGGTGACATTCATCCTACGTGACAACACGAAACACTCAAAAAAGTCACATTTATCCTACTTGACAGCACCAAACACTCAAAGAAGTCACATTTATTTTGCGTGATCACACAAGACACTCAAACGATTCACATTTATCCTAGGTGACAACACAAAACACTCAAATAAGTTATTCCATCCTAGCACACGTTCAAATGGTGTACTGTTTGTCCTATAATGACAATATACACTCGTACCTCTAATTCATTCGATTATGCTCTATCAGTTTGATGTTTTTTTGACATCGTGTGTGGATATTTGGGCTTAAAAGTATGAGATACCTTCCTAGTTGTCATTTTCTAAAGTGTAATTACCTTAAATAGTTGTTTATGCCCATTTTCTGTCTCTTCAATACTATGATGTGGCAACTTAGAACATTCTGTACTCTGATGCCACCACATTAAAATTCATCTTAACAACAGGTGAGAAATTTATTGTTCACTGGATGCCTTTTCTCTGGCCCTTTGGTGATCACCTTCTGCTTCCTCAATTCCGTGGCCATCGCGTACAACTCAACCGCGGCTCTACCATTCGGAACAATTGTGGTAATAGTCCTAATATGGACACTAGTGACATCTCCTTTATTGGTTTTTGGTGGAATTGCAGGAAAGAATAGAAAAAAGGGGTTTCAAGCCCCTTGCCGCACTACTAAGTATCCAAGAGAAATTCCACATCTTCCTTGGTACAGATGGGTTGTCCCTCAGATGGCAATGGCTGGCTTCTTGCCATTCAGTGCTATATATATCGAACTATATTATATATTTGCTAGTGTCTGGGGTCACAAGATCTACACCATTTATAGCATCTTGTTCGTGGTCTTCATTATTCTTCTCATTGTTACGGCTTTCATCACAATCGCCTTGACCTACTTCCAGTTAGCAGCAGAAGATCATGAATGGTGGTGGAGGTAATTAACCTTCCGTAGTTTATTTCTTTCTTGACCATGAATGGGGATGAAGGCAATTAACCTTCTGTCATTCTATGCAAAAAACAGTTTGGAGTTAATTTCTTTCGTCTTTTTAGTAATAAAAAATTCAAACGTATTGTTTGAGGCACATACAAAGTTTATACTTTAACACGCCTCCTAAGATAAACCAACTAAACCAAAAGTTTCAAGGAGGTCCATGAAAGGTTTACTAAATGACTAAGCGTGAAATCACAATTAACATTGATACGAGTTTGGCTTTCAATAATACGGAGTATTATGTTTTATCCGATTATTAAATAATTTTGGGATGCCACCGAAATCAATTTAATTAAGTGTTATCACAATTTGTATATCTATTTTAATTTGAAAGTCATTTCTTGTACTCTCACAGTTTTCGTTTATTCCTTTGAATGAATTAATATTTAGTTAATAGCTTTTACACTAAACAGGTCATTCCTATGCGGTGGGTCAACTGGGATTTTTATCTACGGCTACTGCGTGTACTACTACTATGCGAGATCAGACATGTCTGGTTTCATGCAAACCTCGTTTTTCTTCGGATACATGGCTTGCATCTGCTATGGTTTCTTTCTCATGCTTGGCACTGTTGGATTTCGTGCTGCCCTCGTCTTCGTTCGCCATATTTATAAATCCATTAAGTGCGAGTGAAAATAGTTGGGAGTCTTAGCATTTTTTTAATCTTATTTTTTGTTAGAGTAATATTGTCCTGCACATTGTACATTTGGAGAAACTATTTTACCATTATGCATCACGTTATTGTTTGTAGATGCAGGCTTTTGTCTTACTCACAATCCTGATGTCATAATATGACGTCGATTTAATTGAGGGTATTACGATGTTACTTTCGACCTTGAAGCTTTAAATCTAGCGATGTATATTCAAAGCGTTAGATATTTTCACTCGGTTTCACTGCTGAGTGCTGAGTGTGTAGTGTGTTTATTTGCTACACAAAGGTAACAAGAGTGTTAGCGTATATTTAGTTATTTATTTATTTCCTTGTATGTATTTATTTCCTTGTAAGTAATCCTTACCATAGTTGTATTAGGAAACTTGCTTGTATATATACTTTGTGAATACTCAATGGAAACCAATTCAGTCTTTCACAAAATTCTAAATGGTATCAGAGCCAATTCCCTGGGAATAGCCGAAACCCTAGGCTCGCCTCTTTTCACGGTGCCGCCACCGTAATTACACCGACCGCCTCACGACGGTCGTCTCTGCCGCCGGCTCACGTCGGTTAAATTCTCGCCGCCTCACGTCGGCGATCCTCTTACACCGGCTCACGTCGGTTGCTGCTTTTCTTCCGCCGCCATGACAGCCGAAACTCCCAAAAAGGTACGGCTTATTCACGATCCCACCTCTCCCTACTACATCCATCCGTCCGAGAGTGCGGGTAACTCGTTGACAAAGCATCTTCTCAAGGGAGACAATTATGACGTTTGGGAGAAAACAATTGTCAACGCCTTTGAGGGGCGCAGTCGCGCCGGTTTTCTTTTTCCTTCAGGATTTCCCAAACCCACCGATGAACAGGAACTTGCCGCTTGGAAAGCTAATAATTCTATTATTTGTTCGTGGATTTGCAATAGTGTTGATGAGCACATTCAACCATCTATTATCTCTCATAAAGTGGCTCATGAATTGTGGTTGGATCTCAAAACCCGTTATGGGGGTTCGAATGGTCCTCGGGTTCATCAATTAAAATCTGAGTTCCAATCTCTACGTCAAAAGGGTCAAACTGTGCTTGGCTACTACAACCAATTTGTGACCCTGTGGAACAAGCTATACGGATCTGTGGACCCAACGTGCGGTTGCCGTTGTGAGGCAGTGGTCTTGATCCGCGCACGTGAAGAACAAGAGAAAACCCACCATTTTTTGCTTGGCCTCGACGACGAACAATTTGGCCACATCCGGTCTCAGATTATCGCCACGGAACCTGTTCCAGATCTCCATCGTGCCTATGCATTGGTTGTCCAAGAGGAACGCCATAAAAGCATTGTTCGAAGCCGCGATGACCGCACGGACGCAGTCGCTTTTGCCATGCAACGTTCTCCTTCGACTGTGAATCGTGGCGACCCACCCCACTACTCATGTACTCATTGTGGCAAAGATGGTCACTCGGTGGATCGTTGCTACCAAATCCACGGGTACCCCCCT